CCCTGATTGGTGGAATAGAGACAGGAGTGGTGATAGCAAGGCGGGCTGGTGAAGAGTAAAAACCTTTGGGCCTTTCTGGTGATCCAGGCATGGCCCATTGGGAGGAGGCCTCGTGGAAGGCCCAGGACACGCTGGAGGGACTATGTCTCTGAGCTGGCCTGGTGTCGCCTTGGGGTCCCCCCACAGCAGCTGGAGGAGGTGTACCTGGATCGGGAAGTCTGGGCATCTCTGCTAAGACTGCTGCCTCCGCGACCCGACCCGGGATAAACGGAAGAAAATGGATTATGGTTTTATTTGAAGCCTTTGAACACCTTTTAACATAAAATAGTGTATTTGACAGTCAGTGACTCCTTTAAGTCAGAGGTTCTGAAACACAACATAAGAAAACAGATGTATGTCTAGATATCCAGTCACCAAATTACACACCACACTGGGGGTGAACCGATTACAGGTGTATGGCCAATCACTGATTCCCGATCTTTAAAAAGCCTGACATGCGGATTCAGATTTTGACCTATACAGATCGCTTTTTATAACTTCCACTGTCAGTTGTAATAAGATCACAAGACACAAGCTATTTCAATCTTACTGAAAGACATTGATCATTGCCTGTGAAACGATAGAAACTTCTGAAATAACCGCTCTCATATATAAATGAAAGTTTAAGGCATTGAACTTGGAAGGTTTTGAGACATTTACAGAGCTGGATCAGATCCATAGAAAAGATTGGTTTCACATCTAAATATCACCCAGACAACGATCTCCCGAAATTAAGAAAATCGAGGCAGATTTATTGGCCGGCCGATGAATTCCCGCACCCCTACATCAAACGGAACCTTAACAAGGCATAAGTGGCAGAAATTAAGTAAAGAAAGCAAGGGAAAACAGTGATAGTCTTTATTCATTATTTTTGTAATTATAACGAAAATATCACATTTTCATTTAGGCAGATAATATGTTACTCTCTTCATAAATTTGTAAAATATTTTCCCCTTCACCATAAACTATTTAAATCAACCTCTACTTATATATGCAAAGCTTTGAGTGTTTTTCCAAGTAACTACTTACTACTTCCACAAAGTACTTCGAAATATAGTTTAAAGTATCCGATAACGTTGGAGAAACCTGATATATTTCACTTTCAGTTATGATTTACAGGCCTGACTCAACCTTTTTACGTTGACCTACTATACATTAGTCACCGACAAATAAAAGCAGAGAAAGATGTTGTTGCACAACAGACAAAAAGACACATCCAGAGACACCTAGGTCGTTCTTTTTTCAGCTTTAATAGACTGCAAGGCGTGACTGTGCAACAAGCCTCTGTTACTCAACTGTAACATGTGCAGCGCTGTCAAGGATCAACATGTCCTCTCTATGCAAAAAAAAATAAACATGATGACATCAGCAGCTGCATCTGCAGAAGCATGTCGTCAAATTCCCAGTGATTTAGCAAGAAATTACGCTTAAAATGCTAAAGTTGCTGCAACTTCAGGAAGCCATCGCTTCCACCCCCTGAGGTGAGAGCAGTGACACTGCAAATGCTGTGACAAACACATATTACATCATTTTATAATTTACATTGGGAGAAATAACTGGAGAAATTTGCAGTTCTGCCTAAGAATTACTAGAAAAGGAGTTTTTTTAGAAAGAGAACTGCCTAAGTTTGTAGGAGTAGAGAATAAACCCAAACAACAGCAATTCCTCTTGATATACCGTGGAGGTGTCTGTGAGATACAGACAGGAAGAAAAAAGAAATGAGGCAGTCTGTGGCAGGGTTGTTTACTGTGTGCATGTGTGAGAAAGAACTGAAGAGACAGCAAGAGGAGGAAGCAGTCACATGTTGGGAGGAGGAGAAGGAGGAGGGGGAGGGAGGCGAGACAGCCCATCCCTCCTCTACGTCACGGTGACGCCTCCCTCCGCTACAACTCACATGACTGCAGCAGGACAGTTCTGTAACACCAGTCACGAGGATAGAGTACTACAATAACCAGCCTGCAGGGGCGAGTGTGCCTTTCACACGCACACACCCGCTGAGCGGCGAGGAGTTTAAAAAAAAAGGCCATAAGCCGGCCTTAATAACCAGGAGCAAATATTAACATATTGGTATGCCATTTGCTATATAAATAACCTTATCAGGCTGCACACAGAGAAAGGACTTCAAACTGTGATACGGTTTGATTCTGTTTCTGACTCAAGTTTATCTCGCCTCTTCCGCACCAATCAAGGACTTTGCAGCCATGTAGCGTTAAAGGCGTCAGAGGAAAGTGCTGCATAGACGTAACAGCATGCCTGTTTTCCATCCAACAACTTTTCTCCCTCACAGTTGTCCCATTTCCACTCTACAGCCAGCTTTTTATTGGATCTGCACAGCATGGCTATACTTTTGTTTTACAGCCACATCTTTGCAGATCCAAATGTGCATTCGGTGTCTTGTGCGTTATTTTTCTTATTTTCCTCTTGTGCTCAGCACGAAATGCAATTCCAACTGATGTTTAGTTGAGTGAATCCGTAAAGCAGAGGTGATTTTTTTTTTTATTTCCCCGACAGAAATTATTCTGAACACTGTCTTTTGGCTCTTTTAGGGAACAAACAGTTTTATTCACAGCAGGGTAACCTGATACTCAGTGTCATTATTTAATTTGGCTGATAAGGCTCACCGCCCTAGGCGTCACCTCATTGGGGCGGCATGAGGACAAGGACAACAAAACTCTATTAGTTCCTTTCTCAATAGTTCTCCTGTTTCGTTATACGTAACTGGTCACCATCCTCCTTAGGGTTTTGATCACTCGGATCTAAAAAAGGTAAGTGGAATAAGAAAGAACGATAAGAGTTTTACCATTTTACCATTGATGTCTTCTTAAGAAAAACAAAATCCCAGATTTGCACATGTAGAAAAAGACATCTTTAACTCAACCTAATATCTCCACAGCAATGTCTCTTTAGGCCTCTCTAACAAACACTTATCTTTTAATCTAACCTTTCCTTGTTTAGGGTCAGTCTCCATATCCAGCCTGTTGCAGAATAAAACAGCATTTCTTATAGATTGACCCTGTATTTACCTCAAACCTTACCCTTTAATACTAAAGCATGATGCTGCCACCACCATGTTTCCCTACAGTTCAGTTCCTTCCTATATATACCAATCCTTGTATGCCACTAATGGTCCAACATGAGCTACAAGCATGCAAACCACAATTTTGGGTAGTAACTGTTTTCTACTATACCCCACCGACACATAGGCACCATCCAACAGCCGATCAGTGTCACTGGCTGCACTCTGTGGTGTCTTTTATTTTCTATAAGGATCATTTGCAAGCAATACGCATGAAATATGATATCCAACAGAATAATATGGTGCTTTGAAATGGAGAGGTTGTACATATGGATGCAGCGTGATGACTAGAATATAATATATCATAATGCAGCAGCACTGAAAAACAATTTCAAAGGCTTAAAAAAAAGGTGCAACATTCCTGGGAGAATATATATTTTTTTGTTTTTTCATTATTTTATTTTTTTTACACCTTCTCTCATTTCACTTTAATAGGCATCGCATTAGGATGGCTCACATCTACAGTATGTGTTATGTGGAGGCACATGTCACTGCTGCAGCTTATAAATAGCCTCACAGTCTCTCTGCATCCTTCCACGCACCGATTTCAACCGGCTCGGTTGTCAATCAGCTGAGACAGCCCCCCCCCCCCCCCCCCCCCCCTTTACGCACGCAGCTCCCACCCAAACCTACAGAGCATCTTATCCTGCGATGACCCTGCATCCTCCAGAGCAAAAACAATCACCGCAATGCAATCATGTCACGCTATGATGCGGATCTTGGATGGATAATGATAAACTCCTCTTAGAGTCTGCATGGAAATCTGGGTTAATATTGGAATGTTTTGTCTTTAAATTAGGAGACAAATCAGCAATAATTGGCTGAATTTCTAACCTTTTTTTTTTATATAAGGAAACACCCCCTCCCACATAATCGGTGGACATCCTTTAGTAATAATTACCCTTTCACACAAACAATCCCAGGATCGAGGCAAGTTTTCACCCAGACGCGTTTCGTAACCGTTTCCAGGCGATTACGCAAACCGTTACGAAAACGTAAAACCACACTAACTTTCTCAGCTGATCCACTACTCCTGTGCTCCTTTATTTTCTGCAGGTTTTTAGGAGTACAAAGTCTAATAATAATGGACCGATCGTGGGAAAAGGTGTCGCTCCATCCCAGCAGCCTGCAGAGATCCCCGGGGCGCAGGGGCCACAGAGATCCGGGGCGCAGGGGCCACAGAGATCCCTCTGCATTCTCAACCATTTGGAAATCAGCTTAATAATGAAGTGGATAAATAACTCCACACTCCTCTAATGCGCTTCAACAAGCTGCTTCAATACATTTGATTGGTTCAAAACGCGAAGCGCAACACAAGCATTAAAATTCAAGAACTCTCCAAAGAGCGTTTTCCCTTTAACCGCGTTTAAAAGCAAACAGTCCAGAAGCCGATTATTAGGTCAATTTATGATAATAATCCACCGGGCTTCGGCCACGCGTGAAAGGGGCGCACCACGTGTTCCGAGTCCTCAGCACTGAAATTAAACCGTCCGTCAAGAATGCGCCTAAAGTTTCCAAAGCGCCCCTCTGCATACCAAATAACTCCGGCCGATCAGCAGCACACCGGCCGCTGTCTGCCTCCAGCAGCAATACCAAAACATTTCTCCCTTTTCATCTAATTCTCTTATTTCCCATGGATGATGAAATTTCCTCCAAGACACGTGATAACCAGACGTCAAATCATTATAGCTGTCTATACACGCGCACGCGCGCGCTCACAGCGCACCGGAGCCGGCTTGCAGAGTGCCGGGGAGATGCTGCTCAGCAGCCCGACAGAGGCTCCCATCCGCGGGGCGCAGCGCGCGCCACAGCCCGCGACGTGCAGAGACGCACCGCGCGCTGCAAAGCCACGAGTCCCGCGTGTCCTCCGCGGCCGGAATCTTACCTGGCTGCCGGAATTTTCTGTCAGGTAACTGAAGACAAAGGACGAGAGTTCCTCATCTAATAGTGGAGCGCAGTCCGCCATCTTCTAGTGAATGAGGAGCTGCGGAGCAGAGAGTCGAGTATAGGAGGAGGAGGAGTGAGCCAGGGCCACCTGTAGGGGGCGCTTCTATTTACACATGAGGACTAATGTAGACAGGGAAAGACATGCGGCTCTTCAGAAGCTGTCTCTGGGGAGCAGCAGGGTCAGTGCAGCCCAATGAGGACTGCTGCACGAGTTTCTGACATATTTCCCTGCACATTAAACATATGTGGTTCCCTTATCATTTTGTAATCAGAAATTTTACATAAGTTATCCTTTTAACTACCTACAATGCAAAAACGATCTAGAAATAAGTAAAAAAAAAATTTAATTAAGTGTATTTACCCTTAATTTGAGTAGGTAAATAAGATGATTTGCCAATGAAATTTGTATTTTTACTCTTAAAGTAAAATAATTAGAAAATATGAACTTGAAATAAGAGAATGCAATAGCTTTTTCTTATTTCAAATGTAAATTGTCTTGTTCCATCGGCAAAGTGTCTCACTTTCGTCCTCAATTCGAGAAAAAATGTACTTATTTTAAGAAAAAAATACTCACTTAGATTTCCATTTTTTGCAGTGTACAGATCTAAAAAAAAAACTATCTTTAATTTTAATTGTATCATTGTAAAGGAATACCATATATATGTTTTGCATAGATGATAATTTATTCACTGCAAACTGGTTCTTCAGTTTAGGTAATTCTCTGTCCACCACCAGTTACAACGTATTCTAATTTTTTTCTGTAGCATCATCTGCAAATAGAATAAATATTATGTGGGAGAATGGGAAAAACTGGGTTTTGTGCTGCATCTTATGGTAAAGAAAGGAATGTTCTGAAGCACCATAGAGAGCGTTCTGACCAGCTGTCTCAGTATATTGTGTGGAGGCTGCAGCTCCGCAGGCTGAAAAAAGGTGGGAGAAGTGGTGAGAACAGCGGAGTAGGTCATTAGGGCTTCCTTCCATTAAAGATATTTCATCCCAGTACTGAGTGTCCCAAGCCTGTAACATTATCAATGACCCCTCACACCCCCACCACGGACTGTTCTCCCTGCTGCCCCCTGAGGCTTCGCAGCATTTGATGCAGGACCAGCAGATTCTGCAACAGCGTTTTTCCCCACCACCATCAGACAGCTGTTGAAATGTTGAATAATGTCAAAATCATGTCACAGACTCTGCATCAAACTGACCACATCATCATTTTGCACCATTTTTTCCCTCACAATGCTTACATTTGATCACTGCTGCACTTTAGTGAATGGAAATGTCATGAGAGCTGCGCAAGAGAAAATTTCGTTTTGTATAAAAAGTTTACGTTTAAGTATGCACTTCTTCTCAGCTCTGTTTCATTTGTAATTATTTAGTTTTTTGTCACCCTCCATCAAAATTAATAATAGCCGGCAGAGAGTTGTCAAGGTTTGCAGTGAAATTGTTCGGATATTTCTTAATGACCTGATTGACCTTTACAATTCCTGTCCTCTAGCCTTAACGAATCCCTTGGACAAAGATACAAAATGTAATATTGTAAGATGAACAGACTAAAAAAATCTATTCCTGCTGCTATTAGCCTGGTCTTATGCAAAGACTGATATGGACTTTTTTTTGTGTGTGTGTGTGTGGTTATTCTTTTTATTTTTAAGTTTTTACTACTTTCTGCAGCCAGTTATCCCTCAGGGATGATATAGTTTACTTTACGTGATGGGATTCATTTTGTATCATGGTTGGCAGCACACACACACACACATATCAAGAATGATTAATCACATTTGTTTACTTTCCTCTTTTGGTTCATGGTCCAGGTTTGGTGCCACTATTCCTATTGTTTGTGTTTTCAGCTGGGCATGTCCAGGGCCGCTGGAAGTAATTTTGACAAGGGGGGGGCTTTTTTTTTGGACAAAAGACCTATAAACCTATAGGCCTATTTAAAATACAATAAAAAGATAAAGTATAGTAAAAAGATTGAAATTCACTACTTTATTGTCATATACAGTACACTTTGGTGCACACAACCTGGGTCTGTAACACAAAGATATAATCAGTTCTCAGGAAAATATATGCACTTTTAATTTAACTACACAATAACACTATAGTAGATTTGGTCAGCTGGCATGAACCTCAGTCACTGTGTTTAATTCACACATAGTGTTGCACTGATACCAGTATCGGAGCCCCGATCCAGCACTAAAATTGTGCTATTGGTATGGGCGAGTACCAACAAATATGGCACCGATACCATTTTGTGAGCCAAACGTTTTTTTAACTATTGTCACCCATTCAAGGTAGGCAATAGAAAGTTCTTCTGGATTCACTTTGTATTAGACTTTTTCCTGCTACACAAAGGTAGGCAGCAGCTTGACAAAGCCATGATGGCAATTATTTTACATCCAAGTAGTATGCAGTTCTTCATATATATGCACACACATCAATTTCAAACAAATGGTATCGGTGTGGTATCGGTATCGGCCAATATTGCACGGCTAGGTATCGGTATCTGGGCCAAAAAATGAATCCAAGATCAAAATAACACTCTAAAACACTATTGTTACATTAATATGCACGAATAGATATAAAAGTGCACGGCAGTTATATGCTCTTACTTCGACCTACAGCCTGGCGCCTTGCCTGGTTACAGGTGTCCAAATGTTCAAATACACTCTGGGGTTGTGGAGATAAAGTCTCGCATGAGCGGTCGAATCCGAAATGCGTTTCTGTGCCGTATTTCCTTCTCATTTCTGCTGTTATACTAAGTAAATTTACTAGTCTGCTGCCGCTAGCACTAGTTGGGATGACGTTTCCATGACAAGATAACTTCCGTGAAATTGTGTTGATTAGGCCTAAAAATAATTTGATAAAAATCTAAATACACATAATGGTAAAATAAAAAAAAGTAAAAATAATTTCCCAAATATCTATATGAAATTTATAAATTTTCAAAGTATTTTTAATAGATTTTTTTTTTTTTTTTTTTTTTCCTGTTGTCACTAGTCACTTCCCGGCGGCCATTGACATGTATGTCAGTGTAGGGGGGCTCTAACTGTCATGCAGATCCTATCACAACAAGCGTTTACCTCTTTAGCGGTTTAGTTGGACTACATCACACATGCTATCCTTTGCTACCTTTTCCACCACAGTGCCTTTCTTGATATTTGCAGACTTGAGCACCCCATAATAGCTGCAGTTTTGGAGATGTTCCAACCCGGTCGCTTAGACATAACCATTTTTCCCTTGTCACAATCTCTCCAATTCTAATACTTGCCCATTTTTCTTGCTTGTTAAACATTCACCTTTGGGGTAAACTCTTCTCTTGCATGCTAAAAATACCAAAGCCTCTTCCCCATGGCATTATGAAAAGATAATTAGTTTTATTCGCTTTAACTGACAGAAGTTAATGTTATGCCTAACTTGTAAATAAATGACCTTAACCATAAATGTCATATCTAATCTCACTTTTAAAACGATTTAACACCAAACTAAAATGTGCAGCTGAAGCCAGAAGCTGCTTTTATGGGACTGTTGTAAAGGGCACTATTTTCTAATGACACTGAAAAGAAATACATGAAGAGGGGGGAGGTGATCAGCAGGGACATGCATCGTACAGTTATAAACTCTTCAAATATTCTGTTTTTCTTTCAGATCCACAGCTATAAGTGGCAAAATCCTCTTGCTGTTGCCGGGAGACAGCAACATCGACGCCTGTCAGTCGATTATTCAAGCACAGCTGATGATCTGTGAAAATGTTCTGTGTAGATTTTCATTTTCTTTCCTTTGTAGGCCAAGAAAATCTGTCTGCATATGAGGAGAGCTCCTACTTTCGCATGTCTGTTGTGTCTTCTACATGGCTACATTGCCTTATGGTTTACTTTTTGTAATCACTCTTCTCATCTCTCTTCTAACAAACCTCTCTGGCCTTCACAGAACAGCTGCTGCATTGATGCTGAGATGGAATTACATTCAGATGGGCTAGATTCATTAATTAACTGATCCCTGAACAAAGTCGGTGAGCTCAATATGAATCCTTTAAAATCTTTTTAGATTTAGATTTCTAAAAAGGATTGGAAAACCATTTAAATCATCACACTTTATTATGTACTGATTGTGTGATTTAAAAAAGTGTGGCAGACCAGGGGGATTTGTAACAGGGGACGGTTGTTTCAATGCATTTTTCTCCAGTGAGAAAGAAAGTGGCGACCCTCTGCACGCATAATTCAATGTTCCCCTTTTCAAAGAAAAGAAATGCAGATTCTAGAGCAGCACCAGGATTTTTATGAAAAAATATCAACAACAAAAACAGTTTCTTGGATATGTAACTTATTTGTTTTTGTTATATTATTGTCAATTTTTATGTTATTTAGCACAATCAAATATTGTTTATACAACTAATAAGTTTGCTTTTAGCTAACATGCTTCATGTTACAATAAAACCAGGTTTAGCTGTCACATGAGCTTTATTATGGCGGACAGGACAGCCAACAGTGGCAACAGCTGCAGCAGCTGTCCCCATTAATATAAAACAGGCAGCACAAGAGTATTGTTAACACCTGTTGATTTGTTTTTTACTTCGGCGTCAAACATTATATCATGCTAGTGCAGCGACTAGAGGTTTCTGTGTGTGCATCTGCAAGTGTTTGTGCCCAGTCCTTTTTTACATTTGTGTGTTTATGTGCTATGGAAGAGACAGTAAACTGTCTAATGATTAAAAAAATTACATACATTAAAAAAATCAATAAGGCAGTTATATTATTAGATGCACTTATTTATTTTTACAGTGTTGCTTTTTCCAAAATGGTTTTGAAAGCCCAGTTTTGTTTTGTTTTTTTAAAAGGTACATTTTGCATAATTTATGCACTGACAATTGACAAAATAAAAGTTATTTGGCTGACAGATTGTATTATTGTTCCAATGTCACTGGATGCCTACCCTATAAGGCCTATAAGAGTCCTGCACGGGTCTGATTTTTTTCAAAACTGTATCTGCCCTCACCCGTAGGGTGCAGAACTGAGACCACCCGACCCTTTACCCGCAATTGTAACGCAACCGGACCCATGATCACAAAGT